GCTGGAGTATGAGGCAGCGCGGCAACTAGTTTTCCTCAGGGACGTCACCCCTGAACCAGTACCCGATTCCCAAAAAGAAGAAGTGCCAGTGGAAATCAGTTCGGCTGAGTCCGAGCGACAGTCACCAGCAGCGGTGGAAGCAGGACCATCAGCTCCCCGCTCGTCACTTGAAAACATTGAGAGAAGACTGGAGGAACTCGACTCAGCCATACTCAGCCAATACTTGATGACTCAAACCTTAATCGATACATACACAAAGAGTCTAGCTAACGAACTGGCCACTGGCAAGAAGGCAAATGCCGCACTAGAAGCACGCGTAGAGGCGCTGGAGACTCGAGCTGCAAGCATGGGTACAATGCTGACCGAGATTTTGAAACCACTCGCAGCTCTCACCCAACAAAACGCCATCCTTATGGAGCAACAACTTGACACAGCTAGAAGCCTCCAGCGAATGGAAGATCTAGTGCGGCAGATATCTCAAAGCCTTCCCTAGAGGCGAGGACCTTCAAGTGAAAAGAGAAAAGGAAGAAAGGTCCTCCCTCATGTACATAACTCATAAATGGCAAGGGCTGTACATAACATTGATCAACGAAACAACAATTTTTGCTAACAAGTGACATTTTTCTCTACTATATGCCTAACATAATCTGAAGTATGTGTTCTTATGTGAAATACCTGTGATTTCCTGCTGAGTTAACTCTGTGATATGTTCTAGAGTAAAGTTAGATGACTTAAACACATCAGACCAAGTAATTGCCCTTTGAACTTCACAATAACTCGAACATTAGCGTTAGACTAAGTACCAGCGAACAAGACTTGTGAAGATTAGTGCCCCCTTTGTTTCAAACTCTTCCATACTCAATAGGGCAAGCGGACCTATGTTTTTCAACTTTATTCATCAGAAATAACTTGAAATGAGAAATCCTTAAATATGGTTTAAGACACAATGTGAGCGAAGCAGGGAGGACCTATCATTACAAAGGATAAAGGCCTAGGTACGTGAGAATCAAATAAGATCTTGAGCAGACACAAAGTTTGTCTGAAACTCTCGATCCAAAAATAAAAAGCGATTCTCCGCGCCCTTCGGCTGAAGGTTTCCTCGATCAAAAAAATAGTTCGTGCTAAGCAAACAAAGTAGATGAAACGGGGATAACTCCAATCGTGTTAAATCAAATGGCAAAGCTGAATACTTATGGTTTCTTCGTTTCTACTTGAGGTTCACGTTACTCCCAATCATGGGACTGGTTGTTAACAATTCTTGATTGCAGTGAACAGAATAACCTTGTGTCCAGACACCCACCGCTGCAGAATGTCACCAGATTCCGACTAAGTTTTCCAACTGCAGCGATACAACAATTTCATTCCCAGCCAGCACAAGCGAGCCAAGCTAGGTTGATGCCCTCCAGCTCTTCAGCAAGCGAGGAAGGTCTGCACCTTTACAACTCAATGCAAGTGAAGCGGGCACCCTGGGAATTATGGCCAGCAACTGTTTCGACAGAATAACCACCAGTATCCGCCTAACTACCCAGCGGTTGGAACCGCCCAGCAACTGCTTGCAACCGTCACAATTCACCTATTATAAATAGGTCCAGATATCTCTATGTAAATAACTTCGATTTTGGAGTACTTTTAGCAATTACTTACTGCAGTCAAGTCGTCTTCTTGTCTCCGAGAGCTCCAACGCTGTAAGGGAGTTCTCTACAGGAATGGCCAAGGGAGGAGGGCTTGGCCAAGTCTTTACCGCTCTCTTAAATTAGATTACTGCTTCCAATTACAGCTTTGTAGTTCTAATTTTACCAGCTTTAGTAGTAATTAATGAAATATCATTCAGCTCTCCATCCTCATTTCTTCCACACTTTATCCATACTTATATAAACTTTGAATTTAAAGAATTTCATTTCACTGGTTTAGAGCATGAGAAGAATTGATTAATCTGAGATTTGTTTTGCACCAAAAGCGGTTTCAAAGTAGCTCAATGTAGTTAAGTACGTGGGAGCCTTGTCGGCCTGCTTAACTACTATTTTGAATTCAATTTTGATTAAAAAGAGGTAACAGAAGGGTAAAGCCACTAATGAAGCAGAAGCTGGGATAATTAATGGGGCATAGACGGTGGTCTATTAGGTCACAGAGATCCTAGTGACAGTAGGGTTTCTTTCTTATAATATTCCGATTCTGGGTGTCATTGAAGTCTTGTTGTAAATCCCTTAAGGTCAAATTCCAGTGTTATGAATTCTTTACATTTCAGTTTATATAATTACATCATCCCCTTCTAACCGTTTCCGTAATATACATATATCTTCGTTAACACACTTACATCGCTCGCTCATTACATCCAGGGAGATCTACCAATTTAGTAACGCACAAGTCCGACACAACACCTCTCATTCACTCTCTGTCGCTCATCTATATACATATATATATACATATTGTGTCATCCACTCATGTCCCGATCACTCGGTAACAGCCATTCATCCATTTCCCGTTCGCTCGGTCCCGACTTCCGCTCATGTCCCGATCATCTGATTACCGCTGGCACTTCACTTTAAGCCTTTGCTTCGCTCACTTCCGCTCATCTCTTTTACCGCTTTATTTACCGCTTTCAATAGGCTAGAAGTTTTGATCCGCTGCAAAGCGGATCCTTTCCTGCAATTTTTCGTCGCTTTGTTTGAGATCTTCACCATTTGAAATTCATGACTTAAAATCCTTGTGTTCGAGCTGGAAACTCACCAGTAAAAGGAGTAAATAATTTTGATAACTACTCAGGGTCTACAACCACAACTTCTACTATATCTGATCGCTTTTCTATATACATCACTCACTGATTTTCGTATATAAATTCCCTGTGGAGTTGTACAAATTACAAACTAACAAATTTTGGTTATCAATAATCAATTCTTCTCGTGCTTTAAACCAGTGAAATAAAATTCTTTAAATTCAAAGTTTATATAAGTGCGGATGAAATGATATTTCATTACTTACTACCAAATCTGAAAAAAAAACTAGAACTACAAAGCTGTAATTGAAAGCAGTAAGCTACTCTAATAAATCGGTAAAGACTTGGCCAGGGAGAAGGAAAATCCCTACTCCCTTGGCCATTCCTATGGAGAACTCCCTTACAGGGTTGGAGCTCTCTAAGAATAAGAAGACAACTAGTTTTTGCAGAATTTTAAATGCTAAAAATACTCCTGATTGAAGTATATATTACATAGAGATATCTAGCCCTATTTATAGTAGGTGAATTGGAGTGGTTACAAGCAGTTGCTGGGCAGTTCCAACCGTTAGGCAGTTAGGTGGTTGATGGCAGTTATTCTGTTGAAGCAGTTGCTGGCCATAAATCCTAGGGTGCCTGCTTCGCTTGCATAGGATAGTAAGGGCTCAGATCTTCCTCGCTTGCCGAAGGGCTGGAGGGCATCAGCGCAGCTAGGCTTGCTTGTGCTGGCTGAAAGTGGAATGGCTGCATCGCTGCAGTTGGAACACTTAGTCAAAATCTGCTAATATTCTGCAGCGGTGGGTGTCTGGGCTGTCGCTTGCAAGCGGGAGTGACTGTCGCTTGCGAGCGGTGAAGGCTATCGCTTGCCTTTTGTGCCTTAGTCTTTCTCCGGAGATGCAGTGGTCGCTTGCGAGTGGAAGTGGCTGCCGCTTGTGGCGTTTGCCTTAGCTTTTCTGGCACCAGACTACCGCTTAAAAGGACAAATATTCTTAATAATCTCAACAACAAACTCTGGATCATTCAAAGCGATTTGGTGGTTTATCTAAGCAATGCTTGGCTGAAGTAGTTAACACTGCTAGCTATTTGATTAATAGATCTCCATCAACTGAAATTGACTTAAAGACTTCTCAAGAGGTATGGTCGGGTAAACTCTCCGATTACTCTAATCTAAGAATATTTGGATGTTCTGCATACGCTTATGTGAATGATGGTAAGCTAGAGCCGAGGGTAATAAAATGCTTATTTCTAGGGTATGTAACAAACGTCAAAGGTTATCGACTATGGTGTATAGAAGATATTCGTGGTAAATTTTTTATTAGTAGAGATGTAAACCTTTGACTTGATTAGAGTAGGGGTTTTGAAAGTATTTCAGATACAAAAGATTGTGGTGCTGATCAGAAGGTGGAGTTTGAGACTCCTAATAGAGTTTTGTTAGAGGAAGAGGAGCAGGATAGTACTATTGATTGATCCGATCAACCAGATCAGTCAAAACCTCAAGGGAAACCGATTGAGGAGGAAGTTGGTGACACTAGTAATGGGATTGAAGATTTCATAGAAACTAGAAAGGGAAAGAGAAATATTCATAAACTAACTAGGTTTGCAAGATATGCCAATACTTGTGAAATGGATTATGTGGCTTACGCATTGGCGGTTGGTGATGATCTTAGCTCTGATGATCCAAAAACATATAAAGAAGTTGTAGCGAGTAAAGATGCAGAAAACTGGATTATGACAATGAATGAAGAGATGCAATCTCTTGAAAATATCAAGACTTGGGATATCATTGCACTACCACAATGGGTGAATGCAAGTGGGCCTTTAAAAGAAATTAGAGAATTTCTGGTGTTGAACCTACTAGTTTAAAGGCGATACTGGTGGAAAAAGGGTTCTCACGGAAGGAAGGAATCGATTACCTTGAAGCCTTTTCTCCTATGGTGAAACACAAAACCATCCGGGTTCTTTTGGAAATTGTGGGTGCTTTTTATCTAGAGCTGTAGTAGCTTGATGTAAAAACAACATTCATTCATGGTAATCTAAAAGAAAGGATCTACATATGTCAACCGGAGGGGTTTGACAGTTCTAAAAAGGGCCAGGTATGCTTGTTAAAGAAATCTCTATAAGGTTTGAAGCAGTCTCCGTGGTAGTGGTACAAGAGATTTGATTCTTTCATGGTGTCTAATGGTTGTACTCGTAATCAGTTTGATAGCTGTGTTTACTCAAAGAAAGTTTCTAGTGATTCCTTTGTGTATCTCTTGTTGTGTGTGGATTATATATTAATTGCAGCTAAGAAATGGTTGTAATTAATGACTTGAAGGCCCTACTAAAGAGTGAGTTTGAGATGAAAGATTTGGGTACGGTAAAGAAAATACTGGGTATGGAGATCTGGCGTGATAGAAAAGTAGAAAGGCTATGGGTTTCTCAAGGAAAGTATATTGGGAAAGTTTTGCAGGCATTCTATGTGATCAGTCCAAACCGGTAAGTACTCCTTTGGCGGCACATTTATATTTGATCAGAGCACTATACCGGCTACAAATGAAGAGGTTAGCTACATGAATATTGTTCCATATTCAAGTTCAGTTGGAAGTCTTATGTATGCGATGGTATGTACTAGGCCGGATTTCACTTATGTGATTAGCGTGGTGAGCAGGTTTATGGCTAATCCGGGTAAAGCTCACTGGGAACCTTTAAAGTGGTTCATGTGATATCTGTAAGAATAATATGATATTAATCTAGTATATGATTATAAAGGTCATGGTGATGGTCTGGTTGGCATGCATACTCTGATTACGGGGGTGACTTAGTGAAACGAAGATCAATGACTTGTTTTATCTTCACTCTATTTGGATGTGCAATTAGTTGGAAGTCTACTTTACAACCTACGGTTGCACTGTCGATGAGACGGAATATATGTCAATGACTGAAGGTATTAAAAAGTGTATCTGGTTACATGGTCTGGTGTAGAGTTTGGGTCTGAAGGTGGGGAAACCGATGTTATTATGTCATAGTCAGAGTGCTTTGAGTTTGGCTAGAAATCCGGTGTATCATGAAAGAACCAAGCATGATATAAGGTGAATTATAGCCGTGATGTTCTGGAGGAAGACATATTTTATATTTAGAAAATAGCTACAAAACACAATCCAACTGATATGTTGACAAAGACGCTACCAACGGAGATGTTTGAGCACTGCTTGAACTTGGTGAATATTCGTATGAGGTAAAGTCCCCTAGGGCATCTATCAGGAACGAGATGACTGAGAGAGATACTGAGGAACCTTTGGTGGTTGGATTAGCTACAAGTAAAGGTAAATATTGTTGGAACGTGACTTGGATTTAGTTGTTTACCCGACCCGGAACCAAAGCGGAAATGTTGTTTTCAATTAGTCTGGTTTTTTCATTTTGGCCCATCTTAATTAACACCTAATGGGCTAAGGGTTTATGGTGTTTTAGGGAGTGCATATATATAAATAGATATGGTTCCTAGCCGTATTCTATGATTGTAACCCTCTGAATCAGTATAATTAAATCCCTCTGGTTTCTGCCTGTGGACATAGGTTGACACACCATCAACGAATCACATAAAACCTCTGTGTTATTTATTTACTTTCTTTCTCGTTTTCTCATTACATTATTATTATTATTATTATTAGTATTATTATTATTAGAGTAAACTATTTTTTTAGTGCCGTAACTGACTCCTTTATCATTTTAGTCCCTTAAGTGGAGCCTGTCGCAAACTAGTCTTATAAGTGAAAACTTTTTGTTGTTTTAGTCCTCCGGCGCCGGAGACGCCCGCGTGGCTCGCCGGAAGCCATGTGTCCGCTAGGTGTTCCGCCAGGTCAGCTATACATGGCGGATACATGAATTTTATTTTATTTTTTATTTTTTTAATCTTTTTTAATTTTTTTTCAATTGGACCAAATAAAAAAAAAATAAAAAAGGCAATTAAAATCAAAAATTAATTTAAAATCAATTTTACAAAAATTTAAAAAAATGATAAAAAATTAATAAAATCCACGTGTCCGTCAGATGTCGCTGACCTGGCGGACACATAGCCTCTGGCGAGCCACACGGGCGTCTCCGGTGCCGGAGGACTAAAAAAGTAAAAAAATTTCACTTATGGGACTAGTTTGCGACATGCTCTACTTACGGGACTAAAATGATAAGGGGGTTCAGTTACGGGACTAAAAAAAATAGTTTACCCTTATTATTATTATTATTATTATTATTAGAGCAATTATATTTATTTGAATTAAAATCTATTTGATGTCAGTTGTATTGCTTAGAAAATAATTAAAGGTTGTTTTGCTTTATTTGTAACCTTTCAGGTTTATTTGATAAGGCGAAATATATTAATTTCTTTAATTATTTTAAATTTTCTTTATCTGAACACAATTCTTTTTATTATTTGGTATATGGGACATTGGAGATGTAGCCGAGGATATTGCAAGGTTGAATGCCACTCAATGTAAAGACTTGAAAGAAAAGTGAAAGATGCCAAAGCATTGGTTTTCTTTATCTATCAAGCATTAGATGAAGCTATATTTCCTCGTGTAATCGCAACAACAATATCAAACACAACCTGGAAATTATTGAAATATGGATATTTAGGCGTTGAGGAAGTGGTCAGGGTGAAATTCAAACACTGGGAAGAGATTTTGAAAAATCTGCAGATGCAACCTTTTGAGCCTATACATGAATTCTTCTCAAGAATCCACTTTGTTGTAAGTGATGACAACTTGCGTTGACCTGTGCGGCTAATCTAATTGTGACACACTCTGCCAGCGTGCACTTTATAGACACCCTCACGAAATATATCTTGGATATATCACAATTTCGTTAAAAATATCTTGTGTCACGTGTCATTCAATAACAGAAATGCGTGGATTTGACAAGCTATGAAACTAACACACAAGACAGAGTACTGAAGTTATATGTATAGGATATTAGTTACAATTTTTCCTTATAATTTTAAATGTGCATAAACATAATATGGATCCTTTGGGTTTTGTCAAGTCTATCACGAGTCTGATTGAAATGTAGTGAAGTTAAATTGAAAATTTGGATTTGAATATTTGTATTTAGTTCATGTTTTGCATCTATTCATACTTGATGTATGTTTGCATTTTATTTAGATTAAGATTTCAAGAGAACATGATAATATTTGTCTTTTAGCATCTATTCATACTTGATTTATGTTTGCATTTTTATTTAGATTATTATTTCAAGAGAATATGATAATATTTGTCTTTCAAGAAATAGATAAATTGGTAAAATTATTTTATGCTTTTATTATTTACGTGACCTAATTTCATATTGTTACATATGAAATTTAGAATTAGGTTAAAAAGCCTAAGGTAAAAAGAAAAATGGGCCTTACAATTGAGGTGATCGAACTGGTCGAGGGGCACTGCGGGAAACTCAGGTAAAATAGGTGCATTTTTAAGGAAATAGCGGGTCGGAAGGTCCGCGGGTAGGAAAGTCTGCAGGTCGGAAGGTCCGCGAGTCGGAAAGTCCGCAGGTCGGAAAGTCCGCAGGTCGGAAAGTCCACAGGTCGAAAGGTCCATGGGTCGGAAAGTCTGCAGGTCGGAAGGTCCGGAAGTCGGAAGGTCCGTAGGTCGGAAAGTCCGTAGGTCGGAAGGTCCGCGGGTCAGGAGGTCCGCAGGTCGGAAGGTCCGTAAGTCGGAAGGTTTGCGGCTGGATCAAACAAGTCGGATGGTCTGTCAGTCGGGAGGTATGCGGCTGGACCAACAAGTTGGATGGTATGTCAGTCGGGAGGTATGCGGCTGGACCAACAAGTCGGATGGTCTGTAAGTCGGGAGGTATGCGGCTGGACCAACAAGTCGGATGGTCTGTAAGTCGGGAGTTATGCAGCTGGACCAAACAAGTCGGGTGGTCTGCAATTCGGGAGGTTTGCAGTTGGACCAACAAGGCGGAAGATTTGCGGTCGGGCCAAAAGGGCGGAAGGTCTGCGGTTGGTCCAGAGAGTCGGATACTGTTGCTAGTGAGCGAGAATGACACTTCGGTCGGTTGAGGGCACGTGTTGGCAGGAGAAGGGTTAGCAAACGGTTGAAAAAGAGGCGTTGTAACCGTTCGGGCGACGATTTCCAGTACCGTTTCTCAAGGAATATTTAAAGATTTGGATTTTTCTGGAGAAGACATCTTCAATCAACTTCAACAAAGCAAATTCAGATTCGGGGATCACCACTTTAAATTTTCAGCATTTTAATTTCCAATTTATTTTCTTGTGTACCGTACAATGTTTAGAGATTTCTAATCTTAGGCACTAATTAATCAAATTTAAGAATATTTCCATATCTTTGAATTTTACTTTTTGTTTGTTGAAAAAATACATCAAAAAATTGGCGACAACAGTGGGAGAAAGGCAAGATTGCTGATCCCACATCAACAGAGAATTTCATACGACTGAGGTCTGCCCGAATCATCAGAAAAATCAATATGGCAGGTACACAACCTCAATCATCATCAGCACCAGTGGGAGAAAATATTTCACCACCAGTCATGCGAAATCTAGGGGAGATTCCCCAACCACCTACCGATTGGTTGTCTTATGTTCAACAAATGAACAATCAGCAAAGTGTGGTTATGCAGAACATGTTGCGCGAGCAACAAAATCTTTTGCAGAACATATTAGATCAAGCATTATCAAGGGTTACTCTTCAACCCACCTAGACGCCGCCAGGGGTGTCACCATCAAGAATGCAAGCAAATTTTTCAGGGCCATCATATGTGGACAGCACACTTCCAAGCGCCACAACGTTCAACCGAACAGATAAGGGAAAGACTCCTCTAAATTTCCCAAATAATATTCCTTTAGGACCAAGGGTTGAAAATGTGCAACCGAACATTACAAGAGAGGAAAGGCTAGGGGGACATGTGCAGGATCCTATTCTTATTCCTATGCAAAATTCCATTGATATTCCTGATCATCAACATTTTTGTTTGGGTGATGAAATTGCTCGCGTATTGAGGGTTCAGTTCGGTCTAAATCCTCAGATGGCCAACCGACCTGCTTATCAAAGACCTTTCCCAGAAAGGATTATTAATGAATATTCTCTTCCAAGGAATTACATGCCACCAGATTTTCATGTTTTTTCTGGAGAGGATGGAAATTGGTAACAATCATTTTTACAAGTTACAACTGTTTGGATTGTCTCTAACTAGGACAATTTTTTCATGGTTTGTAAGTCTGCCACCTGGGCAAATACAAACTTGGGAAGATTTAGAGATGGCATTTCATGCCAGATTTTTCAATCCCTTGCCAACGGTTTCTTTGACTGATTTATTGGATGGTTATGCGGGGTATAACCAAATCTTTTTGGCCTAGGAAGACATTCACAAGAAATCAATTAGATGTCCAGGAGCATTAGGTATTTATGAGTGGACAGTTATGCCTTTTGGTTTGAAGAATGCTGTGGCGACTTATCAGAAAGCCATGAACTCAATTTTTCATGATCTCATTGGTAAGTCTATGGAAGTCTATATTGATGATGTTATTGTCAAATCTTCTAGTTTTGAGGAATATTTGAGGGATCTTAAGGATGCTTTCAGTCCGATGAAGAAGTACAAATTGAAAATGAACCCAACTAAGTGTGCTTTCGGTATATCAGTTGGGAGTTTCTTGGGGTTCTTGGTTCATGAGAGGGGCATTGAGATCGATGCTAACAAAGCCAAGGCAATTCTTACCAGCCGACCACCTCAGACGATTAAAGAAATTCAAAATCTGTTGGGAAAAGTAAATTATCTCAGGCGGTTCATTTCCAATGCTGCTGGTAAGGTTAGACCAATCACTATATTGTTGAAGGCAAAAGGAAGCGCCTTTGAGTGGGGACCAGACCAACAGGCGGCTTTAGAGACTATAAAGCAAGCATTGGCTCAACCACCTGTGTTGATGCCTCCCAAGGAAGGTCGGCCCCTCAAAATTTATTTGGCAAATACCCATGAAGTGGTTAGTTGCTTACTAGCTCAAGATGGAGATGATGGAAAGGAAAGGGCAATTTATTACTTGACCAAGACTCTCACAGGACCAGAATAAAACTATACAATGCCAGAGTAGATGTGTTATTCATTGGTGTTTGCATGCACCAAACTTGAACATTATATGCTGCCTAGAAGAGTTGAGGTTATTTCAAAGATTGATCTCATTAAGTTGATTTTGCAAAGACCTACGATGCAGGGCAGACTCATGAAGTGGGCCATTAAATTGGCGTCTTTCGATTTGTATCATTCTCCTTTGAGGGCGGTCAACGGCCAAGCAATAGCAGACTTTCTGGCAAAGTTTACAGGTCATGAGGAGCAACCGACTGGGTGTGTATCGTATGTAAACACCCGAAATTGGTTAATGTTCTTTGATGATTCTACCTCAGGAAATAGGTCAGGCGCAGGTGTCTTGTTGGAAGGACCAGATGGCCAAAGGGTCAGTTTGCAGTTGCAAATGGAAGCTATGACCCATAATTCAGCAGAATATGAGGCTTTAATCTTGGGATTGGAGGCTTTGATAGCCAGGAAAGTCCAGTCGGTTATTATAAAAGGGGATTCTCAATTGGTGATTAATCAGGTAAATAAACAATATGTTTGCAATTATCCCAACCTACGCAGATACAGGGATCTGGTAGGTCGGTTGTTATCAAAGATCTCCGAAGTGATAATTGAGTTCGTCCCTAGAAAGGTGAATCAATTTGCAGATGATTTAGCTCAAAAAGCTTGCAAGAGAATCCAAAAAGATATATGTGCAGCGGTCGGCCCTGACACAGAAGCAGGAACCGACTGGAGGACAGAACTAATCATGTATTTGCAAGATCCAGGAGCAAATGTATCAATTGGAATTCGATTGAAAGCATTGCGATTTCAATTGGTAGACTGAGCGTTATATAAAAGGACATTCGAAGGATTGCTCTTGAAATGTTTGGGTCCCGACCAGGCTTTGGAGGTGATGACAGAAGTACACAGTGGAATATGTGGAGCTCATCGAGCAGGTCTGAACATGAGATGGGCTATTCATCGTTTAGGTTTCTTTTGGCCAAAGATTTTTGAAGGCTGCATACAATTTGCCAAGGGCTGTCAAGAATGTCAGAGGCACGGGCCTTTCAAATCTTGGGCTATGGATATCATTGGTAAAATTCATCCTCCCTCATCCAAGAATCATTGTTTTATTCTAGTTGCAACAGATTATTTCACCAAATGGGTGGAGGCGGTTGCTTTGAAAAATGTGGATCAGAAGGAGGTGATCGATTTTGTGCTGAATCAGATCATATATAGATATGGTATACCTCATTCAGTAACAACCGACCAAGGTCTGGTCTTTACTGGGAAAAAGTTTTTAACCTCCTTGGCAGAGTTTGGCATTTGTCTGAATCATTCTTCGCCTTATTATCCCCAAGCTAATGGGCAGGCAGAAACAACTAACAAGATTATCATTGGGATCATCAAGAAAACGATTGAAGGGTACCCAAGGAAATGGCATTTGTTGTTATCTCGAGCCTTATGGGCACATAGGAATAACAGAAGTTCTGCCACAGGGTTTTCGCCATATCAACTCACTTTTGGACAAGATGTTGTGTTGCCAGCCGAAGTGCAGGTCTCATCCGGACGCACAAGCTTTACCAATGATGAATTTACTGAGGAATATCAACAATTGATGTTGCAGCAATTGGAAAGTTTGGATGTCACCCACTTCATACAATTGATCAGATTGTGAAGCAAAATGAGATCAGGGCCAAGACTTATGGAAAGAAAATCTTTTACAGAACATTCAAAGAAGGAGACCTGGTCTAGAAGACTATTCTTCCAACTTATAAGAACGTTGATCAATTGGGAAAGTGGTCCCCGAATTGGGAGGGGCCATTCATAATTCAAAAGAAGATTGGAAATGATGCCTTTATTATTATAAATCAAGAAGGCAAAAGGGTACACGACTGTATTAATGCTAGATATCTGAAGAGGTATTTCCCTACCTTTTCAGATTACAAGAAAGCATGAAACAGTAAGTTTTTAGAACCCATTTACCAAGGGTTCGAACCTAACAAGGGTTCATTCATTGTCAGATGTTGAATCATGCCGAGGATCACTTTCTCCTGAGTCAGAATCATCATTCCAGTGATTAGGGATTAGTTCTGGTTCTTCATCAATAAGGTCCTCTAAGCTAGGTCGGTACTTCTCCCATTGGTCCTGCATCTTCTCAAGATCATAGTCAGTCCGAGCTTTCATGTCTGTTACGGCTTGGTGTTAACGATTAACAAGAGTGTGTAATCTTGAAAAGACTACACGCTGATTGGAGAAGGTATGGTCCCAGCCAAGGTCTGGGAGTATGGCTGTCACATGGTGTTCAATCAAATCCATGTGATGATCAATGTCGGGAAGGCGACTTTGAATATCCCGAAGGGTCTCATATCCTTCTAGCACGTTTTCCATCAGGCGAATGACACGATGGATGGTCTTTCTGCCTCGTTGGGAAAACCTGAATTTGAAATCCAATTTTTTGAGGATGCATAGTAGGTCTTCAGCATGACCTCCAACTGGATGATTACCCACAAAAAAAAGGTTGAATGACACCTTGCCAATTGTTTACAGGAACATGAGAACGGTGGGGTGGCATTTTAATGTCTGTTAGCAGGTGTGTTCAAGGTTTGATTTGTGGATAAATGTTTATCTGCTGATTTGCAAGGACTGCAAATATTTATAAGGGTGATGAATTGGTTGGTTCCCCGGAGGTTTGGAATTTGGGAAGTGATCCTTAACAATAAGACAAAAATTTTATGTACTAAGTCAAAATTTCCGAAAGTTTACAGAAGAGACCCTAAAATAAGTTTAATCTGGGACCATTTATCTTCTGTCCTGGAAAGTCGCCTGTTATTGGCAGCCAACTGATATTGCCTTATGAGTTGGGATCGGGCATGAATCTATAATTCCTGGTCCAGGTCGGCTGCATTGGTCTTGTACCGATCAATCAGGCGTTGCTCATCGTTGATATGGCCTTCCAGGACAGACCTCTCTTGATGAAGCGCCCTCAGTTCTGCCTCTTTTTGCTGAATCGACCCTTCTATTTGTGTCTTGGCATTATTAAGGCCTTATAGCCGGCCAATTGCCTGTTGAATGGATTCCTTAGTTTTGGCCAAGGAAGCCTCCAGACTTAGTCGATCCAAATCAGGCAAGGGTGTTTCAGTGGTCAGAACACGAGCGAACTGAACTTCATTCCGGAGTTCAGATAGTCGTTCCATCAATTGGTGAAGAATGGATGTAGCATCCGACTCTGAAGATATTTGAAACAAAAGACCACCAATGGCTTGAAGAAGGCTGTCAAGCAAGTCTGTTCCCAGGTCAGGGAAAGATTGGTCAACAGCATGTGCGATTACAGTTCGGACGTCCGTCCGAATGGGGACAGCCGAAGAGAGGGCTAGATCAGAACATCCCTGAAATAAAGATGTTTATCTCAGACTGAATGGAGCATGGATATTGAGAATCAATTGTGAAGGTTCTATGTACCTCTGGACGGATGGTGGTCGCTGAAGGTGCTAGAATAGCCTCAAGTCCGGAAGGCTGGGTGGCTGGTATTACAATGGCTGACTGGTCGGCTGCTTCAAATGGGCGTTGTGGTATGGATCTGGGTCCCTGAATGGTGGAGATATAGTGTGTTAAAGGTCATGTTAATACTAGCTTGTATTTTGGTACTTTGGAAGAAGGAATCTCGAGTGTTTACCAGATTAACAGAGGTCTCTGATTCAGAAGAGGGAATCTCTTGTAACTCCTGTAAGGGTCCCCTTGGTTGAGCAGGTACAGGTTCTCCTTCCTGTCTGTCTGCTTCTGGAAGAGGGTCTGCTGCCCCTGGGTCGGCTACCCCCAAGTCGGTTGCCCCTGGGTCGGCTACCTTCAAGTCGGCTGCCCCTGGGTCGGCTACCCCCAAGTCGGCTGCTCTTTGGTTTGATGCGTCCGGAGCGGTTGTATCAGAGGCGGCAGAAGCAGGCATAGGCATGGCCATCAGTGCCATAGCGGGTAGAGATGGGTCTGAAGCGACATAAGGTAACCTGCCCATCTCTGAAGCAGTCGCCTCACTGGGAGATGAGACCCTTGTTGTTGCCTGCTCGGCAGATGAAGGCATTTTATTCGAGGCCCGGCGCTTGGTCGGGGGCTCGGGTTCTGGTGGTTGGTCGGTTGGTGGCTTTGCTGCTTTAGTTGGTCTTGAAGCAGGTTGGGCGGTCGCCTGGGCCGAAGTCACACCTGAGTATAAAAATAAGGATTAATACTATGGTAAGGAAAGGATCAAGTTGAGTTGAGAGTATGAGGTTATACCTGGACGGGGTCGGGTCTTTATAAGGGGCCGACCTGATGGGCGGTTTGTTAAGGTCAGTTGATTGTCCCCAGAGGGGGGAATAGCTTGAGTCTGATAGGCTCTCCTTTTCCTCTGTGGAGTGTCCGACCCAGTGCCCTGAGTAATTAATTTACTTCGGACATTAGTTAGTGGGGTCGTCCCTAATGTCAACGCAGGTGGGGGAAGGAGGATGGCCAGCAAACGATCCTTGTCAGGGGCAATCAAGGCCCAAGTAACCGACCACCACTCACGAAAGGATTCAACTGAAGTTGGAGAAGATTTGTAAGGAATGTTAGAGTTGGAAGTTATGTAATTTGTGAGTTGGGATATGTACGGGGCAATCAAATCAGGAATGGCTCTCTCATCCGGACTTTGAATTATTAAATGTGGATGAGCAATAGGACCAGGTAAGCCTTGTTGGCATCCGAATTGGCGTGCCAAAAATTGAGGCTGATAGTTGAAGGTATAAAATACTTTGGGACCCTTTTTATCAATCTTCTTGCTAGCAAATAAAGACCTGGGCTTAAGAGCAACATCCCAGGAGAAAGAGTAAGTCGGATGTGGAAGTGGGTTTGGTCTAGACAAAGGTGACGGAACAGGGAATGGCCAAAACAGGCCGGACGCATAACCAATATACCTTTGTGTATGTAGAAATGGGTATCATTTCGATTATCAGTAAGAATGGCAGTTATGATCGGATCAGACGCTTGGAGGTTATTACGACCTAAGCAAAGTCGGTTAAGGGCTACCCCTAAAGACTTCTCAAGTGTGGGGGCAATGGGAGGATGACCAAGTTGGAAAGCGTCGGGAAAATATAAACGGAACCATAGTTCCAGGAACAAAAAAGGACCCGATGCAGTAGTGTCTAATTTTCTACCATCATTTTCTGTAAGGCGGGTGCTAACCCTGGATAGCCCTTCAAAGAGATTGGCAAGGAAAAGGGTGCCTAATGAAAAGAAACGACCCGAGGCTATGTGTATAGCAAGATCAAGGTGAGAAGGGAGGACACATTTCGAAGGGGAAACTACAATATACGTACAGAGCCAAAAGAGCAGGAAGGCTGTGTGTTCTTGGTCGGTTACAGGGGTACGGTCTGCTCCTTGCTGGTCGATTAGAAATTTAATCCAGCCCCATTCTTTCACGTCTGTCAGAGACCAGCCCAAATGGTCTGCATTGGGCTCTTGCCCATCTAGGGCACCCATTACAGGGTCTTCCCCTACGATTGGAAGATGAGCGATCATGGCCACATCCATGAGGTTGGGGTCGATGGGGGCTGTTGGAAGAAGGAATGTGGAAATCTCAGGGTGCCAAAACGCTGCCATTGCTAGAAGGACTTTCTCATGTAAATGACATGGGAGAGTAGACAAACGTATGGCTTGATCGATCTGTTGACTTTTTCATTGATCTTGGAAATGCTCTGCTACTCTTTGGTACCAGGTGCGGTACGGATCCTTGGGGTCCGTCAAATGAGTTTTGATGTTGTCATGGAGGCGGACCGCATTGTAATCAGGATTGTTGACAGCTAGTAGGTTTCGGGCTTCCAAGACTTCTCTCATGCGGTTGGAGTCTTCAGCAGTTGTGCAATATGGACGAACAGTTGGAGTGTGCGTTTTCGTCGACACAAGAGTGGTTTTAGGGATTGATCCGTCGACGGGGAGTGCAGGGATGTAGCGATTTGCCATGGTTTAGAATTGTAGAGATTATGATTCTCAAAGGTTAGTATTGAAGAAGGGAGAGTTTCGTGGAATCAGGTATGTTGCAGTAACTGATGCAGTTGCAGAGGCGATTTCTCAGTAGGGTTGTGATTTATGAACTTCCAAACGGTGATTGAGAAATGGCGTTTGAAAGTCCCTTGGCGGAGGGCAAGTTGTTACGTATGAAATTTAGAATTAGGTTAAAAAGCCCAACGTAAAAAGAAAAATGGGCCTTACAATTGAGGTGATCGAACTGGTCGAGGGGCACCGTGGGGAACTCAGGCAAAATAGGTGCATTTCTAAGGAAATAGCGGGTCGGAAGGTCCGCGGGTAGGAAAGTCCGCAGGTCGGAAGGTCCACGGGTTGGAAAGTCCGCAGATCGGAAGGTCCGTAGGTCGGAAAGTCTGCAGGTCGGAAGGTCCGTGGGTCGGAAAGTCTGCAGGTCGGAAGGTCCGCGGGTTGGAAAGTCCGCAGGTTGGAAGGTCCACAGGTCGGAAGGTCCGCGGGTCGGGAGGTCTGCAGGTCGGAAGGTCCGTAAGTCGGAAGGTTTGTGGCTGGATCAAACAAGTCAGATGGTCTGTCAGTCGGGAGGTATGCGGTTGGACCAACAAGTCGGATGGTCTGTCAGTCGGGAGGTATGCGGCTGGACCAACAAGTCGGATGGTCTGTAAGTCGGGAGGTATGCGGCTGGACCAACAAGTCGGATGGTCTATAAGTCGGGAGTTATGCAGCTGGACCAAACAAGTCGGGTGGTCTGCAAGTCGGGAGGTTTGCAG